AGTGCTAAATGTTGCATTTTAAATGCAGCAAAAACGCTGCATAACCTAGGACCAAAATTCAATACTGGAAATCAGCTGTTTGGGAACAAATGCACTTCCGGAAATAAGCTGTTCGCGCGCCATCTTCTGGCGGAACAGTTGCAGGCAAAATTTACCCATAGACGTCATGTCTTTTGGCAATTTGACGTTTTGGTAACAAAAGAAAAAACCGTGAACTGTCAAACGCGAAAAACTGCTCGAAAAATTTCGCTGGCGACGTTATAGTTGCAAATTTCCTAATGAAGCCGAAATAAATTATTAAATACGCTAAAATTACTGTGGACACACATACGAAGGTCCTAATTAACATCCTTGTCTGAACTGTGGGTGAGTGGCTAGCTGAACTGGTGATTAAATACGCCAGCGGGCAAGGATACGTGACCTCACACGACCCGCCTAGAACGGAGAAATGTGTTGGGCAGTGACTTGGAGTTTTTTTTTAGTGCCAATAAATGAAAGATGATTAACAAAATAATGTGTTGGCCATAGCTCGATAAGTTTGCATTTCCTAGTTTAATATATGTATTTGATGGTAATTTGTTGGTTTGAGTTGGCATAATGATTGTAAAATTTAGCGATGTGAATTTCGTTAGTGCGTAAAAACGGTTAACCGAATGTTATTCTGCATCAAATCAAAGAAGCCGTGGCAAGAGCTGAGAGTGTTAATTTCAAAAGTGCATTTAGTTTTACGCTTTAGTTTTCATATAAAGATTTCTCCATAAATTGTGATTTTTATTGTTTTCTGTTTTTTTTTAAATCACTTGATGTAAGAAACCCGGTTGCCACCAACCCCAAATATGAGCAACAAGTACTTCAGACGTCACTATTTTTAGCCGAATTTTATAGCTAATCTGACAATTGAAAATCTCTTCAATTTGATCGAAAGAGTGCACTGTTGTCACACTTTTTGCTGTCAAATGAAAGAAAAGGTAAAATTTTTCAGCAGCAATAAATCGCAATAAAAAACGTTGATAACTTCTATTAAAGAAAATCGNAGGTAGTTGGAATGCATGAAGGTATTATGTTTCCATGCTGGTGCACATGCGACTGTGCTCAATCACTACATGTGCCCACGTTAGATTTACCACTTCGGCGATATATCCGCTAATAAATATACCCACTTGCGCATACCGACATACATATATTATTTAAATAATGCTTTCGTACTAATTCCATTATATTGCTATAATTTCCGTCGTTGCAGAATGTTACAGTGGAGGAATTTCTGGACGATGACGATATATTACTGGAGTGTAGATCACAAAAGAAATCTATTGTTAATTAGTAAGTCCAAACTCTTTTGTCATATAGAGAAGATAGTGTAATACTCGACGTGATAATCTAACCTTCTAACATTAATTATTTCGGCTTTTGCAGCTTAACTCGTCCAGACGTGATCAAACGCCTTGTTGAACTCATAACTACAGAACCTTCTGAGGATCTACCTTTAGCACAAAGATATCGGCATGCGAATATGGCTTGCGAAATCTTAACGTTGTAAGTACCGACCAACATATACTATGTGATAACACTTCCGTACAAATCTGATTTCTAACCTCATTCA